TAAGTAAATGATTCATGTTCATTGGTTAAATTAATTAATCAAAATAAATTAATTCATATTCATTGATTGAAAATTTGAATTCCAAAAAAATTAAATAAGGATAAAAGGGTAAAGTTACATCATTTCTTAATACAAGTAGAAAGTAAAAATGTGACATATAAAATGGGATGGAGTATAAGACTTTTCAGAACAAAGTATATGAGTATCAGTTTTGACATTGCCATTTAACTTGTATTTGCTTTTCATTATTTTTTTTAACGCATATCCACTTCACGATAACTTTAAATATACAATGTTTGAAGTTAATTACTCTTAACAAACTCTAACTTCAATCGTATATGAAGTTTCATATAGTTAAATTTTATATACAAATGACTAAAGTTCAATTAGTTTTGCCTAACTTCATCCTTTTTTTCTTGAACTTTATCTATACGTGGGCGGAGTTTAGACATAAAATAACGGAAGTCCAATTAAATATAATTCGAATTTCAACTATATATAACTTTAAGAATATTGTGTTTGAAGTTTGATTTTTTCAAACTTTACTTTAGAAACTCCACATCTGAAGCGGATATTTACATTAAAAAAATTTAAAAAGCAAATAATGTTTAATGACACTATCAAAGTGAGTTATGCTATGAAAAATTGTATATAAAAATTCAAATTTAATCGAGCTTTAATAAAAAGTTGGAATGGAGAAAATCAAAAGATAAATTAAGGAAGAGAAAAAGTCTTAAAAGAGTAGGGATAATAAAGGGCTTATGAAGGGTTCTTTTGCTTATAGTCTCTTTGGATCCCTTGTGCTCTGAAATTTTTCTGTCCATCTTGTCGGAAAAACCCAACTCCCATTCATAAATGAGCCCATCTTATGCTGTCCCACTCGCATTCCAATGACTCGTACCACTTCCCAAAACCGCACCCGTACCCGAACCCGCCGTCTTTCAGCTTGTTACCGCCACCCATCGGAGCCGGTCACCGGCATCTGTGCCGCATGCCTGCGTGAACGTCTCTCCGGTCTTGACTCTTCTGCTGACTCTGAACTCTCTATTGTTCCTACATTCTCAAATTCTTTCGAAAACCCAGATGTTGATAATGGACCCGAACCCGGACCCGGATTTGATGGTAGCCGGAGTAAAGCTGCTACATCGTCGTTTTCTCCGGATCTCCGGCGTTGTAGGTCTGTTTCTACTGCCAGGTGTGAAGGTTCGTGTAGCTGGTCGGAGCCACGTCGGAGATCTTGTGACGATAGGTCGTCCAGGAATACTCTTGTAAATCTCTTTGGAGTTGATGATGAGGTGGGTGGACCCAATGCCGGTTTCAATGTTGAATCGAAGAACCTGGGGTTGACGAATTTGTCTGATAATGTTTGTCAGTCGATAGTAGAGCATAAAGAGAGTGAAGAAGTTAGGGTTCGTGCTGATGCATTGGTGAGAATAGAGGATATAGATGAAGATACTCAAGATGGAGAGCTTAAGACAATGAAAGAGTTCATTGATCTCGAATTTCACACAAAAAATCAGAAATCGAGGGATTTCAGAGACATTGCGGTGAATTTCAGGGAAGCAACTTCAGTCTTCAGCAAGAAATTGCAAAAATGGAGGCAAAAGCAGAGGGAAAAGAAGCTTAATAGTAGAAATGCTGAAGGAAATGATAGGTTTTCAGCTGGAAATAACAAGTTGATAGGTTATAAATCAAAGGATAGTCGGTCTGAGATTGGGGAATGTGCAATGGGGAGGAGATCTTGTGATACAGAACCTCGTTTTTCAGTTGACGCTGGGCGATTGTCGTTGGACGGTCCAGGGATTTCAATTGATGAGCCTAGAGCTTCTTGGGATGGATATATGGTCGCTAGGACTATTCCACGGCTAACACCAATGTTATCAGTTGTCGAAAATGTGCTTTTAGGGAATGGAAATGGGTTTGATAGGCATCGAGCATCGCTTGATGGGCAAATGCAGGCTATAGTAGAAGATGAGAGTAGTTCAGGTGGATCAGGACAATCCAATTCGGATTCTTCATCATCACAAAGGGGAAGTAGTTTTGATAGGTCGAGTTCTGTTCAGAGTTTTGGCAAGAGGACATTGGATTTGGAGGTTAACGAAGGCAAGTATATGTCAAATTCATCTTCTGCTCACGTCAAGTTGGTTATTACAGAGAGGGAATTGAAAGATTGGCGCTTGAATCCTATCAAAGATGATAATTTGAATAAGTATGAATCATTTCCCAAGAACGGAATTGTTGCTGAAAGTTGTGACCCCAAGAAGGGGTCCAAGAAGCCTGCTCGGTGGCGAGAGGTGTTCAATCTCTTTGGTAACAAGCAAAAGCTGAATAACAATAAGGGAGAAACCCGAAAAGGAGAAGGAGAAACCATCAGTTCAGTCACTGATAGCAACGGGAAGCAAGGGGACAAGGGTTATGATAATGTAAAGGAGGCTGCTCAATGGAGGCTTTCACGCAGCAGCAGCATTGTTGGGGCTAGAAAATCCTGCAGCAGCTCCTACATTCCTGCTAGGAATTCCTGCAGCAGTGCTTTCGATCAGCCTAGGAATTCGTGTGACATGACTGAACTAAATTACAGTAAGAAGAAAGTTGCTGAACGTGCTGCCTCTGCTAACTTTGGCAGGGATGCTTTTGTGCTGGAGAGGAACAGGAGTGTCAAATGCTCTTCAAATGACATTGATAATGGTACGCTGCCATTTTATTTGATGCCATTGAGGACTTCTAGGAGCCGTAGATTCACTGAGAACAAGTTAACAAAGCCCCTTCACGCTACTGGCAATGGTTTGCACTGAACTGGAAGGAAGATACTACATGTAGTTTACCACGTATCTGATTTTGTAAAAAACAATTTATCTTTGTGTATCGGCATACCTTGTTATTTGAATATCAAAATGCTTTCTTTATAGTTAGCTCAAATTTTTTAATTTTGTTTCCCCTTGTTATTATCTTCCCTTAATAGTTCCAATGTTTGAAAATGGGATTAGAAGAACATCATCTTAGCGGATAGTGTACTTAGGGTTGGGTCTCAAAGGATTTGATCAAGTAAGGCCCTAGGATTATCTAAGTATCAACTCCTTTGGATGTCGCTGACCTTGATGTCGAAGTCCCATTCCTTAACAGGGACAGGAAAGGTAGTACTTGTTGCATCTACAGCTTCTTTGTTTCTATGTGATAGCTACTTGTGATTGACCATGTTTAGTGTTTTATGAGGATAAATACAGCTCTCATTTTCTCGAGTTGCATTGTTTTGGAATCCTAGAGAAACACTTCTTTCAATTACCTTGTGCTAAGCTACCCTCCATGTATCTTTAGAAGAGATTATTTCAAAAAATCTGAAGATACAGTAGGGAGCTGTTGAAAAGTTCCTCTTTCCTAAGTGTAAAAGATCAGAACTGGAGTGATCACGATTCTTCTTGTTTTACCTGCATGCCAAATAACACCTCTCACCAGGTCCACCCTCTTTCTTTTCCTTCAAATTTTGGGATGCTTGCTCCCTGCCATCCTCTTTGCATCATGATTAATTCGGCTCCTGTTGGTTGGAACAAAATGAATCCTTTTCATTGAGTGATCTTCATTCCTTGTCTTTATCCCCTTCACTTTCCCTGCTGCTGCATCTATCAGTCCCACGTCTTCCCCATATCTGTTTGATGTTCCATCCCGTTTGTTTAATGTAGAATTTCGGAGTTGAAGGAGTTTCAGTTAGGTCTATAATCTGTTGGGTAGGGGTCGGTATGTTTTTGTGCTGATAATGTTGCTAAAGGATGAGCGTTTGAAAGGGTCATCTGTTTACAATAGATTCTTAGAAGCAAATATCTTTTATATGCATTTAACATCAAATAATGATCCAAAAGTTTGTTTTGAAGCCAATTGCGTGAGAAAGGCGTAATTTTAGCGCCTGTTTTGACTCTTTAATGCCTTGGTGACACCGAGAGAGCTCTAACATTCGTGCATTACCATTACTGTGGAGAACATTGACTGGAATCTCAGAGTTTTAAAGACTGATATTTAACTTTTGTCATGTGCAACACACCTCTCTAAGGTTAAAGTCTGCTTACACTCTACCCTACCCCACATTGTGGAATTACACTGGTTATGCAGCCACCACGTCTACCTCCAAACCCGTCTTCTCCTTCCTTGCAAGTAATTAACTAATTTGATCATTGCAAGTGATTAAACATTTAGGTTGTCAGTTGAGGACAGTGACGAATTGTTATTGTTAAAGAAGAAAATAATTTACTACCTTCAATCTACATAGGATGTCGACCTAAAAGCTAAAAGTAATCTTATCACAATTCCTTTTTTTTTTTTTTCCAACTTTATTCTTAACTAACTTGTAAATTCAAATTAAAGACACAATTTCAAATGGAAGCCGCAAAGCGTGCAACTAGCCAACAGACAAATGGGTTGTTTGGGGGAAGTATTTTAGAAAATAATACATGTATTAACATCCGCATAAACATAGTTAAAGACACAAATGCTCGTGAAAATGTACAAAAAAGATATGGAGGGTATTTTGTAAACAAACATTTTTTTTAGAATTATGAAATACATGTTATTTTTAATATAGGAAAACAAACAATTGAGAAGAAATAATCTCTGCATTACTAATCTCTGTATTACTCACACACACCCTAGCCAGCCAACACTATTCTTATACACACAACCAAACCAAAGGATTCAAAATAATCGAACATGCATATTGAAGGGAGATAACAGACAATGTATGAAGCTGGATGTAAGAAGCCATATTGTTCCTTTATGAAGGAAACAGAAGAAGCAATATCTTCTCAAATCTTACAAATTGTAGCAATCAATGTATTTTTGTATAGTTTTGTTGTGCTATCCTTTCAGACCTCAATACATTGCATCAATATCCAAAAAATGTCACCTTTTCTTGGCTTTAAAACCTATATACAGAATGTGAACCCCATCCCAAAAGTTTCTCTGTATATTCCATTTGTCTGTCAACTAAAAAAAAATGTGTATTGATACTTCTTCTGTCATCGTCGACCACTTAGGTACTTTCTCTTCAGAGATTTAGAACTAGAACAGGCACCTTTTTTTGCTCGATTCCTTTTACGAGAATGTTTGGGAGCAGTGACCTCCTCTTCCTCCTCTTCTTCGTCTTCCTCCTCTTCATCATCGGTGTTAATTGTTATACTATTTGATCTGATACGCCGAGGAATGTGAACATTGAAGTAATAGTTGACGATGCTTTGCCTATTCTTGGAAGGAAAAGATGCTAATGCTGGTTTCATGAAACTTTTGCCTTTAGACAGACCCGTCTTAACGAGGGAGCTGAACTTTGTTTGGTCCTTAGTGTTCCACAACATGGAAACTTCTTCTCCCATTTCATCAAATTTCCAGTCATTAAAGGCTGTCTCCAGTTCAGACTTCAACTTCATGCTTTCTTCTTTAACGTGTCTTTTAACACATCCGACAGATCCAGAGGACCTACAAGAACAATGTTCGTTTCTCCCTTTCCCAACAAACTCCTCGTTATCTTCCTTGTTTTCTAGGTTATCGGCTTTTGGCCATACCAGTGTTCCAAGCCATTTTGAAGTATCGGATTCCTCCTTTTTATACTTGCATACCATTTCCTTCTTTGATGCTCTTAATGCAACATCTGCTGCTACAACTGGAGTTCCCTTGTTCGGAGAGTTGGCCCAATCTGGAACATCAACCTGAAACCTGGGTCCTACTGGGATTACCAATTTCTGGTGATCTTCATAGATGAATTCACACCATTCTTTTTTCTTCTCATTGGTCAGGGCCGGATCCAGTAGTTCTTTTGCTTTCGTCATACTTCACGAGAACATGGAAGAACAAGAGTGAATGAGTTTATCTCCTGGTAAATATATCACTGTTCCTCAAGCTATATAGAGTAGTATTTGAACTCAAGACTTTTCTTTAAAAGAGATCACTGTTTTATAGGATACTGGTACCTAGTGCAGCAGAATCAAGCGTGACTGGAAGCTTTGCTCAAGTGAAATGGTTATCCAAGTTCCTCCTTTAGCAGCAACTTACGCAGCCCTTCTGTACATGCCAAAATGAGAAATTAAACAGACGAACGAGTAAGTATAGAAGTTTTAGAGGAAGTACTGGACACAAACGGAAAGCAGAGTTGCGTAATAGTTTTATCAGGATAAGTCTCATCAGGAACCAGATATAAGACCCCTCCGCCTCAAATATCAAGAAAACACAGTAAGCTTAATGCAACTACTTTGAAACTCTTCTGATTATCTGTTAGTAAAATTCGATAGTCATGACTCATGACTATATGAATGCATTTATGCATATCTCCTACACATGTACTTGGACTTTTGGGAGATTAATGCAGATGCAATGTCTATAGATAACTAATGTCATAACAATACTTAGATACATTCGTAGATACACTTAAAAGAAACATACATCACAGATTCACACATTTGAATGTAGAGGAGGGATAAATAGTCTTTATTTATGGCGAAGTCACGAAGAGACACTTTAGAAACTATACTTGATCCTTCTCTCAACTCAACCAAATTTGTACATGCCATGATTATATAACAAATTTAAAGTGAGTTAGGAGAATGAAGATCAAGACTGACTATATTGATGAAAACACCATCTCAATCCTTCGTGATGAATCAATCAAATAAACTCAAACAAGAGCTCAAGCAAAATAAACCAACAAATTTCCCCCAAAACTCCAGTATTATAGGAAACGAAGCATCATACTACAACTTATTCAACGTTCAATCTCCGGACTCCATTTCTAAATTCTTCAATCAAAACAGTTCTAACTAGTATTAAGGTGGTGATGAAATGATCTTCAATTTTTCGAGTTTTCTCGAAATTCTTTTTTTCAATCAAACCTCATTTCACTTCTTTCAAAATGTTAAAACACCTCTGGACCTTAAGTTTTTCCAATTTTTGTAAAAGAAAAGCCACTGATCTCAGCTCCGCCATTGAAGCTAGAATTACAGAACAGAGGAGAAGCGGCAATATTGAATTTCGAATTCTAAGCACGAAAAATTCAAGGAACCGAATCAAGATACATATTATTCGATTTTCTTGTTCGTATAAATTATCAGATTTCCAGAAGAATTTCAGGTATGTTCGTCTCATCGTTTATTTTTTCTCCAAGGCGCAAAAATGAAGATTTTAAACCCTAATTCTTTATCACGTTCTTTGAACTCTTGCCCAAATTCAATCTTTTCAAGTTTTCTCAAAATCTACTCAGATTCAGACTCTTTACTGTTCTTGAGCAACTGCGCGATTCAATTTTTCAGGCCGAAAAAATTGAACGAAAAAAAAAAACTAAACTTTTTCTTGATACAGTAGCACATTTTCTATTTTTATTTCATGCACCAAAACATAATGTAAATATTCTACTTTTAGGGAAATTTAATTAACATTTAAAGATTCCAATTTTAAGTTATAGTCATGGTATAAAATATACATGTTTAAAAAGTTAATGAATAATATCATCAATGTAAGTAAGCACAAATAGTGAAAAAGAATTGAAATTCTAAGAAAGGAAAGTTCACTTGCCTTTTGTTTTCTCAACAATTGTCAAAATGGGACTAAGTTGAAGTTGCTTGCCAATCTACACCTTCTTGAAGAAAAAAAAAAGAAGGGAAAAAGAGTAAAGTAAATGAGAAGAATGAAAATTTTGAAAAACATTTTATTTTATAGGTATTTTCTCTTATTATATAAGAGAGAGTTCTGATGAAGTAGACACATCTCCGTCAACGTGCCTACTTCAGCGTATTTAAGAAAAAAATTTAAAATTTATTTCTTTTGTTCTACTTTAATTTATAATCAATGTATAATTTTTTCCAAAAAAAATTTACATATTTATTTCTTTTGTTTTACTTTCCAAAAAAAAAAAATTCAAAAATTTATTTCTTTTGTTCTACTTTAATTTAATTAGTGTATAATTTTTTTCGAAATTATGATCTTTGTTTTAGCTATGACTTTTAGCTTTCAATTCAAGACTTCACGTTGAAGCAAGCACGTATCCGTCGACGTGTCTGCTTCAGCGTGCTTCGAAAAAAAATTAAAAAAATATTTCTTTTGTTCTACTTTAATTTAATTAGGTTATAGTTTCTTCAAAATTATGACATCTGTTTTAGCTATGACTTTTAGTTTTAATTTCATATTCTATAGTTATTGCTATATTATTTTGAATTTCGGTTATATTTATTTATATCTTCTAACTATTTTGAGTAAAAAATCAATGATCGATACGAAAAATGCTTTAAGTATGGGCCTCCTCACATTAAATTTGCGCAAACAAAAGTAATTAACAACTTAAATATTTAAAAATCATATTAAAATTTAATTATCTTTCTAAATTTTACTTATATCACATAAATTAAATAAAAAAAATACTAAAATATTGGGCCCGTGCAACGCACGGGCACCTGTGTCTAGTAAGATATAAGAAAGAAATAGAGAAGAGAAGGATACCTTTGCATCAAATCAAGTGCAGCCTTTACTTACTCTTTGTAATTTTTGGGTTTTCACAACTTATAATGGAGAATTAGAGGGGTAGGAACACCCATTTATAGTAGGGGAAAAGACTAAAGGAAATATAAGAAAAAACCAATATTTATAGATTGAATCACGAGAAATTCTAGGTATAGGAACACTCATTTATAACATGAGGGAAAGATATATATGAAAATGCAAAAAAATTGAGGTAAAAGATATTTATATATTGAATCACGAGGAATTAGAGGTTTAGAAACACTCATTTTATAACATGAGTGGGAAAGGTATATGTGAAAATACAAGAAAATTGAGGTAAAAGATATTTATGAAAAATTCACGAAAAATGTCTTGACTAACATATCTTAAAATAGAGTCGTCAAAATGAGTTTGACTGGTGAAATTAATCCAAGTCAAATTATTAGTTTGGTGTGGTTGGACTGGCATTTTCCACACCTATTTAAAACTAAGACTCTTTAGTCTATCCCTGGTCAGTTTGTCGGTCTCGTGTGGTGGAGTTGGACTAATTCATAGGTCAAAATATTAAATTTAAACAGAAAAGTGAAGATTCGTATATAATTTTTTAAGAATAATTTCAATCGCTAAAAGGGTATACATCAACATTTGATTGGTAACAACTATGCTTTTAAAGAGATAAGTCCGAAGGATATCCAACAACCTAGATAGGATTGCTAGAAAAAAATTCTATAAATATTTTAGACACTATTATCATACTAGTCTCTGGACACGTGCGTTGCACGTGTGTACCATGTGATTTTTTATAGATTCGTTAGAACAATTAAAATTTTATGCAAATCGTGTGAAGTGAGTAATATTTTTTTAATGTGCGTCAAGAAACACCAAGTGAGGGGCACATTGTAATGTTTAAAATCAATTACTTTGAAGTTACCATCAGTAAATCAATTCCGTTGAAGCTATTATCAGTAATTTTTGAACTTTTTTTAGTAGTTAACACACTTTCAATAAAATCACAAATGACTAATTTGAGCCAAATAACAATGTAGACTTATGATAACGATAAAAAATTCATAAAAATGTGATTGGTAAAGTCTAATAGAGAAAAAACACACAAAAAATAGAAGAAAAAGATTATTTCTTTTGTTCTATATTAATTTAATTAGTGTATTATATTTTTCAAAATTATGAAATATGTTTTAGCTATGACTTTTAGTTTTAAATTCAAGACTTCACGCTGAAGCAAGCACGTGTTCGTCGACTTGTCTGCTTCAGCGTGCTTCGGAAAAAAATTAAAAAATTATTTCTTTTGTTCTACTTTAATTTAATTAGGTTATAGTTTCTTCGAAATTATGACATCCGTTTTAGCTATGACTTTTAGTTTTAATTTCATATTCTATAGTTATTGCTTTATTATTTTGAATTTCGGTAATATTTATTTATAACTTGTAACTACTTTGAGTAAAAAATCAATGATCAATACGAAAAATGCTTTAAGTATGGGCCTCTTCACATTAATTTGTGCAAACAAAAGTAATTAACAACTTAAATATCTAAAAATCATGTTAAAATTTAATTATCTTTCTAAATTTTACTTATATTACATAAATTAAAATAAAAAAATACTAAAATATTGGGCCCGTGCAACGCACGGACACCTGTGTATGGTAAGATATAAGAAAGAAATAGAGAAGAGAGGATACCTTTGTATCAAATCAAAGTGAAGCCTTTACTTACTCTTTGTAATTTTTGGGTTTTCACAACTTATAATGGAGAATTAGAGGGGTAGGAACACCCATTTATACTAGGGGAATAGGCTATATAAGGAAATATAAGAAATAACCAATATTTATAGATTGAATCACGAGGAATTCTAGGTATAAGAACATTCGTTTATAACATGAGGGAAAGATATATATGAAAATGCAAAAAAATTAAGGTAAAAGATATTTATATATTGAATCACGAGGAATTAGAGGTTTAGAAACACTCATTTATAATAGGGGTGGAAAAGGTATATGTGAAAATACAAGAAAATTGAGGTAAAAGATATTTATGAAAAATTCACGAAACATGTCTTGACTAAAATATCTTAAAATAGAGTTGTCAAAATGAGTTTGACCGGTGAAATTAGTCCAAGTCAAATTATTAGTTTGGTGTGGTTAGACTGACATTTTCCACGCCTATTTAAAACTAAGACTCTTTAGTCTATCCCTGATCAATTTGTCAGCCTCGCGTGGTGGAGTTTGACTAATTCATGGGTCAAAATATTAAATTTAAATAGAAAAGTGAAGATTCGTATATAATTTTTTAAGAATAATTTCAATCGTTAAAAGGGTATACATCA